TTTGGACACATACAAACTACCAAGACAGAACCAAGAAGAAACAGAAATCCTGAACAGACCAATAAAGAGCAATAAGATTGAAGAAGTAATCAGCAGTCTCCCAACTAAAAAAAGCCCAGGACTGGGTGGGTTTACTGCTGAATTCTACCAAGCATTTAAAGAGGAATTAACACCAATTATTTTCCAACTATGTAAAAAAACGGAAACAGAGGCCATTGTCCCAAACTCATTTTATGAGGCCAGCATCACCAATGCCTAAACCAGACAAAGATATAGCAACAACAAAAAAATTCAGGCCAATGTCTTTAATGAACATAGATGCAAAAATCCTCTTTGGGAAGTTTTAGGTCAGGTAAAGGGCATAAAGAAATATCACAATTTGTAAGAATGAATATGCTAATAATAAAAAAAAATTTTTAATCCTCAACAAAATATTACCAAACAGAATTCAGCAACAAATAGAAAAATTATACCATGATCAAGTGGGATTCAACCCAGGGATGCAAAGATGGTTCAACATATGCAAGTCAATAAATGTGATACACCACATCAACAAAATCAAGGACAAAAACCATATGATTATCTCAATAGACGCAGAAAAGTCATTTAACAAAATCTGACTTCCTTTCATTATAAAGACTCACAGCAAATTAGGTATAGAAGAAAAGTATCTCAACACAATAAAACTCATATACAACAAACCCACTACAAATATCCTGAATGGGGAAAAGCTTTCAAAACAAGGACAAGACAAGGATGCTCACTCTCACTACTCCTATTTAACATAGTATTGGAAGTACTAGCTAGAGCAATCAGGCAAAAGAAAGAAATAAAGGGCATCCAGATTGGAAAACACAAAGTCAAATTGTCCCTGTTTGCAGATGATATGATCCTATATACAGAAAAGCCTAAAGACTCTACAAAAAACACTGTTAGATTTGATAAACGATATCAGTAAAGTTTCAGGAAACAAAATGACCATGCAAAAATCAGTAGCATTGTTATACTCCACAAACTAACAGAAAAAGAAGTCAAGAAAGCAAGCCCATTTACAATAGTCACCAAAAAAACTCAAATACCTAGGAATAAATTTAATCAAGGAGGTGAAAAATCACTACAATGAGAACTACAAATCACCACTGAAAAAAATTAAACACAAAAAGATGGAAAGACATTCCATGCTCTTGGATCGGAAGAACTAATGTTGTGAAAATGTCCATATGCCCAAAGCGATCTACAAATTCAATGCAATCCCCATCAAAATACCAATGGCATTCTTCACAAAAACAGAAAAAACAATCCTAACATTCATATGGAACAGCAAAAATCCCTGAACAGCCAAAGCAATCCCAAGCAAAAACAAATAAAGCCAGAGGCATAACACTACCTGACCTCAAATTATACGGCATTGTACTAGCATAAAAACAGACACTCGGACCAATGGAACAGAATACAGAACCCAGAAATCAACCCACAAACTTACAGCCAACTGATCTTCGACAAAGGTGCCAATCGGGAAAACATACAATCGGGAAAAGACTGCATCTTCAATAAATGGTGCTGGGAAAACTGGACATTCATATGTAGAACAATGAAACTAGAGCTGTACCTCTCACCATATACCAAATCAACTCCAAATGGATGAAAGACTTAAATATAAGACCTGAAACTATAAAACTTGTAGAAGAAAGCATACAGGAAACACTTCAGGAAGTAAGAATGGGCAAAGACTTTATGAATAAGACCTCCAAAGCACAGGCAACAAAAGGAAAAGTAAACAAATGGGATTGTATCAAGCTAAAAAGCTTATGCACAGTAAAAGAAACAATTAACAGAGTGAAGAGGCAACCTACAGAATGGAAGAAAATATTTGTAAACTATGCACCCAACAAGGGATTAACATCCAAAATATACACGGAACTCAAAAAACCTAACAGTACAAAAACAAGTAATCCAATTGGGCAAAGGAGGTGAATATACATTTCTCAAAGGAAGATATAAAAATGGCTAACAGACACACGAAAAAATGCTCAATGTCACTAAGCATCAGGGAAATTCAAATCAAAACCACACTGAGATATCATGTCACCCCAGTTAGACTGGCCATTATCAAAAAGACAGGGAATAACAAATGCTGGTAAGGATGCAGAGAAACAGGAATCCTCCTATACCATTGGTGGGACTGTAAATTAGTGCAGCCATTATGGAAAACAGTATGGAGGTTCCTCAAACAACTATAGATAGAATTGCCATATGACCCAGCAATCTCACTGCTGGGTGTATACCCAAAGGAACATAAATCATCCTGTCGAAGGGATACCTGCACTCCCAAGTTAATCACAGCCCTATTACAATAGCCAAGAGTTAAAACCAACCTAAATGTCCATTGACAGATGACTGGATAAGGAAAATATGGTGTGCATACTCAATGGAATACTACTCTGCCATAAAAATGAATGAAATTCTGCCATTCGCAGTAACATGGATGAACTTAGAGAAAATTATGCTATGTGAAATATGCAAGCCACAGAAAAAGAAATACTATATGTTCTCACTTGTAACTGGGAGCTAAAATAAATATGTAATTAAGAAAGAGAGAGAGGAAAGAAGGAAGGAAGGAAGGAAGGAAGGAAGGAAGGAAGGAAGGAAGGAAGGAAGGAAGGAAGGA